GGGACCGCCCTGCGGCCCGGGTTCTCCTTCTCCCAGCGCGTCCTCGGGGCAGTCTAGTACTGGGCCCGTGCCCCCGCCTCGGCGCCGCGAAGGGTTGTGAGCCGCCACCGAAACCCGCAGTGAACATTCATAGGCGCATTTCCGGGCCTCTCTGTGTGCGAGGGGGTGTAGCTCAGTGGTAGAGCGCGTGCTTAGCATGCACGAGGCCCCGGGTTCAATCCCCGGCACCTCCACTTTTGAAGACGCAGGTTTTGCTCCAACAGCTCTCCGGCCGCCTCACCATTTATTAAAACGTGTCTGCGCCTCTCTCTCGTCTCTTTGTTTTCTTGCAGTCCTCCGAACTCACATGAAAAACAACGAGAACCACCCGACCCCACTCGGCTTGCGGTGCGCGCGCATCTCTGCTCTGGGACTGGGCGTGGCCGAGTCCGCAGCCACCTGCTGGCGGGTTCTCCACCCGAGAACCACCGCAGCAGCGACGACCCGGCGCACCTGCAGCGGCTTCACCTCGCGGTACCGTCGGAGAGCAAGACGCACGGAGGCGCAGTGCACTGGACCCTGTCCTTTGACGCCCTCCTTCTCCGAGCTGCTGGGGCAGGGGGGGGGGGGGGGGGGGGGGGGGGGGGGGCGGACGAAATTGTGCATTCCCAGCACCCGCTCCCAGTCACAGCCCTCCTTCCTCCTTCCGCCCTCTCCTCCCATCCCCTCTCTGCTGTTACACCTTTAAAGTCATTCCTGACTTTGAAGAAACTTCTCAAGTATCACGTAAACTTATCATCTAGACAGAAATTCTGTATTGTGTTAAATAAACTCTATCCTTCTTATCTGACTGACTTGAAGAAGCACCTGCTTGGCTAATACTGACAGATGAGTTAAGAGCGGAATCAGAAAATAAAGAGCCCCATCCCCTTTCTTAGCACCCCCGGTTCCATCCCACATTTTGAAGGGCTTTGTACATTCAACGTGTGAACACCTCAGCACACACTTCTAAGCTTCAAACACTCCACTTGGCAAAGAGCCCGTTCAGGGCCACCTCCTAGGCCTAGAAGCATGCTAATGGCATGGTCTGCCCTCAGAAGGATGGCCTCCGAAAGGGGGGGTGGGGTGGGTGGGTGACGTCTGTTCAGGCCCTGGAAGAGGGGAGGGTCTGGGCTGTTTTGATAGAGAATTCTGGGAGCCCCCATACATAGAGTGTGGACCCAATATCCACAGGAAGAGACATGGCCAGGAGGGGCCCCGGGACATAATCATCTCTTGCCCATGGCTAAACGTGAAACCGAGTGGATGCCCCAGAGTTTAAGGGGATATTTGTGTTTAATCAGACTTTTCCAATGTAGGTCTAAGGTTAACGTTACAGGCTATCTTTTCCAAATTAACCAGTTTCCTGACTCATGTATGTGTGTGTCCTGTAGCGTCTCTTTTGAAAATACAACTTGTACCTGAACCACAGAACCGTGTGCTTAACATTAGATTGTGATAATACCTGCAAAATTAGAAGGTTATGTAGGGGACGCAAAAGATTTCCTCAACCCTCTCAGGGTCCCTGGCTGGGTCTGAACATTAAAAAGACAAAGGCAGATTAACAGGAGAAAAACATACAAATTTACTTAACATAAGTTTTACATGACACCGTGACACGAGAGCCTTCCTAAGGAAAGGATGACCCAAGGAAACAGATGTGAGTATGTTTGGGTTGGGTTGGGTGCACAGTGGTCACCCGTGGAGGGATGTGATAGGTTAAGGAGGCTGAGGTAATCTGGCAAATTGGGGGAAACTTAGCAAGGTTGTTTTTCAGGGGTGTCCCTTTGTCTTTGGAAATAAGGATGCTTCTTTCAGTCACAGGGCGGGCATCTCTCACAGGTCACCTTTTATGACCTGTTCCAGGGAAGAAGGGCAATAGAGGGAGGCCAGAGTGACCTTTTGCTGTTTTCTCAGATCCCTTCAGCTTAAAATATGTAATATGCCGAAGTGCCATATGTTGGAGTAGCATGTCCTGAACTCCATCGGTAATAGGATAGAATTTGTCAGGGAAGAAATAATCTAAACTTTATAGAGTTCTCCAGCGATGTTATACAGTGAAGGTTTGTGAGGATTTTGTGGCATAGGTTGTATTACCTTAGGACTGTTAAATCAATTAAACAGAGAGGCCAGTAGACAAGGGGGCTCTAATGCCTGCTTAAGCAGATTAAAACTAAGCCTGTATATGCTCGAAGGTTCCGAAATAGAAACAATAAAGACAACAAATCACAAACAGCCAACGAGGCTTTAAGCTCTAGCCAGTCGAATGACTTCCTTTCTCGTCTTCTGCTCTGTGTTTACACCTGCTGTCAGAGGGCCATCTCTAACCACCACAAGCTTGCCCCTAGCAGATCCGAGTTGATTTTTGCTCAAATAAACTAAAAAAATTTTCATATGCCTCAGTTTATCTTTTAATAGGTAGAATTTTAGGGTAAAGAAAGCTCTTCTGAAAATGTTGATTTAAAAAAAAACATGAATTTCATTTGTACTGCTTTCTTAGGCTGGAGAATGAGGACAATGAAATGTACATTTTAATGGGAGAACCTTAAGATTCATCAGAGCTTTAGCATTGTTGTTGTTTGGGGAAGGAGCTTATGATAAGACATAGACATAGAAAAGATTCAGCCACCCAAGGAGCTTCTTGGGTGTACTTTTCTAAAAATAAAGTGAAGAGCTTGGAGGAATCTGTCCTTGACCTTGTGAGCACTTTCAGGTAATGTGCACATCCATGTTCTGGAGAATGGCGTGGGCACCACCAAATGGCCATCTTGGGAACATCAGAGTCCTTTGCTGTGCATGACAGTTCTCAGATGGCAATAGCTTTCTTTAATGGTAGATTGTGGTTTTTGATTATGTCCTTCTGGATTCTCAAAATGACATCAAGAAACCGTTTTTACAATGTGGATAGTAGTTTTCTTTTTTTTTTAACGTTTATTTATTTTTGACACAGAGAGAGACAGAGCATGAACGGGGGAGGGTCAGAGAGAGAGGGAGACACAGAATCTGAAACAGGCTCCACGCTCTGAGCTGTCAGCACAGAGCCCGACGCGGGACTTGAACTCACAAACCGTGAGATCATGACCTGAGCCGAAGTTGGAAGCTTACCGACTGAGCCACCCAGGGGCCCCTGGATAGTAGTTTTCTAGGGCATTTCCTCTAGCTTCAAAAGTCTAAGTCCCCAATATGCTTCAACGCTCATAATTGAGCTTTTTTTCAGATGTGCATTTTCCTCTAATAAATCATTAACATTTTCCAATTTTTAATTAAGTTTCCCAAGACAGTTAAAAATCTCTGTGTTTCTATAGTGGTGAGCATAGCATAATGTACAGAGTTGTCGAATTATTTGTTGTGCACCTGAAACTAACATAACAGTGTGTGCAAACCATACATCAACTTAAAAAAAAAACATATGTTTCCATATCATAGCATTTCAAAATCACAGTCTGAAGTCACATGTACTATCAGGATAGATGTGAACTCTTAAACCTTTAGCAGGTTAGAACATTAGTCCAGCCATCTGAGTGGATGTTGGGCAAAGGGGTAGGTAGCTTCTTTTACCCAGTTTGAAAAAGTTACAGCACATCCAGCACAAAGTACACCTTGAATCTTTAAGGATATGAATCACAGTTGTGCACAGGGGCTATCAGCACACGGCAGTCAGGACATATCCCCCTTTCTCTGTCTGACAAAGAGATCAGTGAGGCTCCTTAGTAGACTCCTATTAGATAATTCTGGTCACCTCAGTGTCCTTCACCAGCTTGTAAATACACTCATGCCTGACCTCACTAGACCTTTCGCCTCTGAAAAGCTTTGGCCGTCAGCACCGTCGACAGCCCCCTTGGCATGGGTCCTAATAGGATTCTATGTCAGAACTTCCACTTTTGTATATTCTTGCTCATACGATCCACGTTTTCGTAGCTTACAGACACTGGTGAATCAGAGGAAGGTTTTTCTCTCAGTGCGTCCCTCCCCCTCTCCTCTGAACTGTGTGTAGTTCTAAGCTTTCCCCGGGGACAGCCACCCAGTACACCGTCCTCGCCATGGAGCCTGGGGGCTGCAGCCCAGAGGACAACTGAGGAGACCAGCAAATGCACCAGCGGGAGAGCAACAATTAGCTTTCCCCTAACGTGGGACTCAAGCTCACCACCCCGAGACCAAGAGTCTTCTGCCCCACCAACTGAACCTTGTGCAGCAAGGCGGTTCCTCGCCTCCTTTGAACCATGCCTCAGGCCACAAGTCTAGAGGACCAGCTGGGATTTAAATCAGAATCTGCTCGTAGTGGTTTACAGGAAAATTGAAAGTCAACAGAACTCTTGTCATCTGTGATTTTTTTTTTGACTTTTTGGTTAAAACAGCTGCATAGAACCAAGTAAACTATATAGAATCAACAATTTGCTCTTTCTCTATCAAACTATTTCAACCTCTACTCTCATTCCTGATTTTCAGTAAATGCCCAGAGAAACAGGCCCCGGATTTCTGACCTCCGTATTATCAAAGTCTTACTTGTTCCACATCACGACCTCATTTCTCATAACTCCAGAGTCCCCTACAGCCAAGAGAATCAAAGTAAAGCGGAATGGGAGGGGCGCTTTGGAATACAGGAGGATTGTGACACCAAAAGATGGGACAAGAAATATCATGCTGAGAAGTGTCTGTCAATACTTATTTTACTGACTGCTTTTAGTATATTTGTATTAGTTTTTTTCTTAAAGCTTATTTATTTTTGAGAGAGAGAGAGAGAGAGAGAGCGAGAGAGAGCGAGTGCATGAGTTGGGGAGGGGCTGATAGGGAGACAGAGACACAGAATCCAAAGCAGGCTCCAGGCTCTGAGCTGTCAGTACAGAGCCTGACACGGGACTTGAACCCACGCGCTGGGAGATCATGACCTGAGCCAAAGTCAGACACTTAACCAACTGAGCCACCCAGGCACCCTATTTGTATTAGTCTATTAGGGCTGCTGTAACAAATTACCACAAACTTGGTAGCTTAAAACAACAGGAATTTATTCTCTTACAGTTATCTAGGCTGGAAGTACAAAATCAAGTGTCAGCTGGGTTATGCTCCCTCTGAGCCTCCTTCTTCGCCTCATCTTCCTTTCCGGCAGCTCCCGGTACCCCTCCACTTCCAATCTCTGCCTGCATCGTGGCACAGCCTCCTTTTCTCTGTGTGTCTCTGTCTCTGACATGTTTTTCTCTTCCTAGAAGGACATGAGTCAGCGGATTTAGGGCTCATCATATTTCAATATGATCTCCTCCTAACTAAATGCATCTACAAAGACGCGATTTCTAAATAAGGTCACATTTTCAGGTTCCAAATGGACACGAACTTTTGGAGGACACTAAATCCTCCAGTAAAATATTAAACATACGTTGTCTTTTGTCAAAGGCTTTTTCTGAACCTATAGAGATAATCATGTATGTTTTTTCCCTCCTTTTCTCTATCAACATGATGGTCTGTATTAATGTTGTTAAAGATAAGCCAGAGCTGATTAGTAGCTATAATAGCAGGAAAAACAGACTTTATTCAGGAACATTGTAATAGGGGGGAAGAGGCCTCAGTATAGAAGTATCAATTCCAAATACAGTGTTTGGCAAGTGGGAATTTATAGCCAAGAGTGGGGCGGGGGTTCATCAGTGGTTAGGAAGTTCCCAAGAGGAAACATCAGGGGTAAGGAGGGATTGAGACTGAACGGCCCTAACAGGATTCTTGCTGGAAGTGGGCCACGGTGACCCCATGTCACCTGGGGGATGGCGGAGGATAAGGGGCCCAATTAGACATGGAAGGTGATCGGATACGGAGGATGGGGGACACCTAGCTAACCCAACTAAGGACTCTCACAGAAACTGGACAACACAGAGATGAAAATCAAAGACCCAAAGCCAAAGCCTAGTTGAAAAGGAGCGCAGGGGGCCCTGCATAGACTTGTGTGGAGGAGGGACTCTTTGCCAGTATCTTTCTTAGTAATGAGTGCTCTGTGCATTTCTGGAATAGCCCCCAGTTGGACATCCTGCATTATGTGAAATAGGCTTATAGTTTTAATCTTTGGTGCAAACTGAAAAAAGTGGTTAATATTATACTCACTTTATGCACCGAATAGGAAGTTTTTCTTCTTTTTCTATGCTTTGAATAATCTAAGTAGCATCATGACTTTTTGATATTTAACAGTTTGGTAGAATTTGCTTGTGAATGTATTTTTGCCTGGTGCCCTTTTGGGGGGCGTGCCTGTTCAACTACTTTCTCTGTTTTTCTGGAGTAATAGCCTGCTTGCCTCCCGTCTGTACAAGGATTAACTTGGATATGATATTTACAAAATCCACTTCATCTAAGTTTTTAAATCATTTGCTGAACTGTGCTACGATGCTTCTCACGCCTTTAAAAGCCCTCTTGTTTTGATGGGGACTCGGCTGCGGTCCTGATTTTCTCTTTCTTAATTAGGTTAGCTGGAAGCTTGACTCTTCTGTTGCCTTTTCAAACATCTAGGTTCTTTATTAGTTCCACTTTTTAAAAGTCGTCATTTTCTGCATTCGTCTTTCTCAGCGCTCCCTTCTTTTAGTCTATTCCGAGTCTTCTGGTTTATCACGCTGTTCGTCTTCTAACGTCTTGAGCCGAGACTTGGGTGGCTTTTTCACTGTTGCCAGCGTCCTTCTAGCCTCTAATTGGAGAGGCTGGAGAACCACACTGTCTCTACCCAAAGAGCCACGTCCGCGCCGTCAGCCTCGCAGGTGCACTCCTGGGGCTGGAGGGAGGGGCGCGGCGCCTGCCGCCCGGGCGGGGGGTGGTGGTGAGGCGGGGGAGGGCGGCAGGTGCACCGCCCGCGCGGTCTCCCGGGAGGACCGGCCCCGGGGCGGCGTCTGCGCGCCCCCCGCCTTTTGCACCTGTCCTCCTCGGTCGCCTCCCTGCGCACGACTTCCGGCAGCCGGGAGAGCGGGAAAAGGAGAGCGCGGAGGCCCGAGAGAACGCGTTCGCGGCGGCCTCGCGGGGCGGATCCGGGGCTCCCACGGGCTCTGGCCCGCAGCGCGCTTCGCTCGTCTCTCCGCGGAGCGAGCCTCCGTCCCGGCTGCGAGGTTGCGGAGCCGCCGCATCAGGCGCCGCGGACCCGGCCCAGGCGGCCTCCGGGAACCCGTCGCCGGCGCCTGCGCTGCCCTTGAATAGCCTCCCGGGAGGATGCCCTTCCCGCGGGGGTGTAGCTCAGTGGTAGAGCGCGTGCTTAGCATGCACGAGGCCCCGGGTTCAATCCCCGGCACCTCCACTTTTGCTCGGGGTCCCTCCTCACCGATACGGTGGGCGCGGGGGCCCCGCCTCCATTTTGCAGCTGTATTAACCGCGGGGGGAAAGGAGAGGCGAGGACGGAGAGGCCGACTGGGGGAAGGGCGCGGGCTCTCACACCGTCTTCCTAGCTCCCCTGCTTCCGTCCGCGGTGGCCGCGCCCACAGCCCTCGGCGCGGGTGCAGCGCCGCCCGCAGGCGTCCGCGCAGGGTCCCCGAGCCCCACCACGGGTTCCAGCCGAGTTCCGTCCGCACCCCTAGCGACCCGGCCCGAGGCCGGTGCGCCCCCATCAGTGCGGTCCTCCCACCAACCGTGGTGGCCCCTGCGAGCTGATGAGAAACGCAGAACGGCCGCCCCCGCGCAGACCCGCTCAACCACGACCTGGATCCCCAACCGATTCCTTTGGGAATCGCCGGGTTGGGTGATTTGGGAAGCTTTGGGAAGCGCCGGGTTGGGTGCTGGGACGTGGCTCAGGAGGGTATACATTTTAAGTGCATGCCTGTATTCTCATCTTTTCCCAGTTTCCTATTCCAATGTAGGAGATACAATTGCAAAAATGTACTTCTATTGTCGAACCATTTGTGCGGCCTGATAATGGACCTTGTTCTCTCCCATGGTAATATAATATTAATATTTTCTGAATCAACATACGTAATTGAATTCGAGGTGAAGTTTCTTTTTCCTTTTTTTTTTTCAACGTTTAATTATTTTTGGGACAGAGAGAGAGACAGAGCATGAACGGGGGAGGGGCAGAGAGAGAGGGAGACACAGAATCGGAAACAGGCTCCAGGCTCCGAGCCATCAGCCCAGAGCCCGACGCGGGGCTCGAACTCCCGGACCGCGAGATCGTGACCTGGCTGAAGTCGGACGCTTAACCGACTGCGCCACCCAGGCGCCCCTCTTTTTCCTTTTAATAAACATTCGCAAGTTTTGCAATCAACACTGTGCTAACTTCCAATATGTACTGGGAACTTTGTGTCTGTCTTTGTGCTCAGCAACATTTAAAATAGCATAGTATCTTGTAATCATTTCCATACTCAGAGCGGCCTCGTCCTCATCAAATCTTTAAGAGCTTCGGTATTAATACCAAAATTAATCATTTGGCTAATACCAAAGTCCCCTTTCGTGTACTAAGCCCTGTGATAGATTTTGAAGATCCTAACCCTTAGCTACCACAATGGAAGTGCGGGCTGACGGACTGCTCAGGTATTGGGAATCCTGGTTCCCCGAACAAACATAATGTCAAAAGTTTCCCTGTGAAGTGACGAGGAAATTTTTTCTTTTTCTGTTTCATTACTTTAATTTTTGTGATTAGGGAAATTTCAAAGGAGAAGTAAGTTCCAAGGACAATTCTTTCTCAAGTTAAGATGTCTTGGCTTTGGGATTTACGTCTCCATAAAAGATTCTGAAGTAGTGCTCCGGAGCCAGACTTTTTTGAAGCGAACGATCGTTCTCTTTCTGTTCTGCTGTCATGTGTTCCCTCCTCTTGTTTTCAAGGTACAATTTTACAGTGTCTTTCTGCCACTTGTACCCACCATGTCAGGAGACTATGGGAATTCATGAAGTCACAAAAAGAAACAAGACAAAACATGAGAAAGAATATCTTGAATTATCACGACTGCCTTTCTGTATTATATTAGGGCTCAGCCCAAATGTGGGGGCAGGGGGAAGGGGGAAAAAAAAGGAAAAGGGAAAATAATGCAACCATAGACTTCTCCATGGAAACCCACCTCTGTGATTTAAAGGAGAAGAGAATATAGTGAAAAGGTCAAGAGCTTAGTATGAGAACGCTTTAGAAAATATCGGATGGAAAAATTTTAAATTATAAAAATAAATAAAATAAAAATAATAAAACATTATAAAAATAAAACAATAAAAACAAATAACGTGCTGCCTGAGCTGTCTGAGGTAGTTCTTTGAGAGCAAGTTGTGTCTAACTTTGACTCAGAATAAGACTGACTTATTTTAAAGTACACTGTAGATGAATTTTGGAACTTCAACCATGTTTTATTTGGGTGTTCTATCTCAACAAACTTATCTTTTGTTTAGCTTTCTCAGGAAGAAATTACAGATTAAGAAACTCTTAGAGGAAAGGCGACGTGCCCATGTGTGGGACCATCTGTGAATGTGCAGGAGGCAGCAGTTGGGTAGGACCATGGGCTGCACAGGAATGTGGGAGCAGACATGATCCCTTAGGCCATGTAGACACTCTAACTGAAAAGGCAGTGCTTTATTTTTTTCACAGGCACATTTAATTGGAGAAAAAGGATGAGTTAATCATTTACTACCTAGTGCAGACAGTTTCTTCACATTCAGTCAAGATAGGAGACTTATTAGAGCAGTATAACTAATCTTCCCTGTCCATGTTAACAAGGTGAGACGTTGTAAACACACCCGGATCCTAAGTGTGGATTGGAATTCTAGAGCACAAAAGCTCCCCACATAAAAAACCCACTCCTGCTGGCCTGCCACCTTTTTAAAAATGGCACCCAACCAGTTACAATGTTTCCACCTGTCCTAGATGCACGGGAAATTGGCTTCATGTGTCTTCAGGGTCTGAGTTCTACTTTATGAGATAAATGGTTCTTTCACTAGAAGAATCATGTTTGAAACGTCCTACTATCTCCCCTGGAATAGATATTTTCAATCATGCAGTGGATGGAGAGTCTGAATGTTGTCAAAGAACATTGATTTTAACAATTATGCTGTTCAGTGTACCTTGGGGCAAACAGAAAAAAGAACCCCAACCTCTTTGTGAATCACTTGTAGTACTCCTGCTAATATGTAGGTTTCTCCAGGAGCGATTTAAGGGATAATTACTGGATGATCCTGGGAGTTTTCACAATTGTGTTTCCACACCATCGAACAGCCTAGATAATATTCCAGCCATCCTCTTACACACACACACACACACACACACACACACACACACACACACACATACACATGCACATACAACCACGTACCAGAGCTTGCAGAGTTCGGTGGGGGGCACTTCTCAAGCACTCGAGTCCAGTGAAACCTGCCACTTGTGTTTCCTTCTGTCTATTCTAGCAGCCCCATGAACCAGCCAAGAGAGAAATTCTGCCAAACCAATAATGTGCTTTCAATTTCAAGAGGCTCAGTGACACACTTACTTAAAAAGATGTAAAACGAAGAAGAGAGAAGACCAGCTAGGAGCCTGGTGCCAGGAAATGAGTCTTTCTGGGTCTCCCATGGAAGTTTCAAGGCCGCAGGGCTAACCAGTGTGAATTGTAGGGTTCGGGGTCAGTCTGGGAAGAAGTCTCCCCCTCAGAATCCCGCTCCCAGAACCATCAGTAAACGAGTTCCTGAGTCCACACCTCCCAGGACACTCAGCTCTCCTTCTGCTATTATACTTGTTCTGCTCACCCCCACCCACCCCCACAGTCAGGTCTGGGCACCGGGCGGGGTTCGCGGTGCTTCACCTCCAGGCCGACCTTAGAGACGGATCCCTTACCTTCCACGTGCCCCGAACCACACCCACCCCTTCCTCTCCACGCCCCACCCCCCCATTCTCCGGAAGATCAAGGACCACAAATCTCTGGGTTGAAAGACGGGTCGCTTCGCGCGTCTCCGTCTGGGTCTCGCTCTGTAAACCCAGTAGGTCCCTATCCCTGTGCGGCCACGGAAGCGTTATTACCCTGGACGCCCCCTCCGGCCTGCTCAGTTGCCCTCAGGCTGTGATAAATCCGACTCTGAAACTCCGAAAGGCGTGTGGTATGGATTCCCACCCGGGCTTTCCCAAGAAAATCATGCCCTGCCCTTCCCTTCCCTTCCCTTCCCCGTGGAGCGGACAGCAAACAGCAAGACGTGTTCAAGCCAGGGAAGAGCCGGCCAGTTTTCTGACAAGCGCTTCCAAAATTCTGTGCCCCCTTTCGAGCTCTGTTTGCTAAAAGGCTAGTCCCTCCGCCCCCAGCCCCCCCGCCCCCGTCCCCCCACACCTGCGGCTCCTCCACCCCATGGAGACAGGTGCGGGGGACCCGTGGCGGCCGGGGGGTGTAGCTCAGTGGGAGAGCGCGTGTTTCGCATGCACGAGGCCCCGGGTTCGACCCCCGGCACCTCCAGCCGCCTCCCCCCCCCCCTATCCTTAGGAGGTGCAGGTTGCACTATCCTACCTTCTGCTTCTTTACTCCCTGCCAGAATGCTCACCAGAAAACCAACACGTGACCCAAGACGTTAATTTTTACTCTGTTTAGACCCCACGAGCCTCAAAGCCACCAGAGGCTGCGGGCAGAAGAGGCGCGCAGTCGGTTCCCTCCGGCAGGTGTAACGCGTCACTGCGCACGCACAAGCTGAACGCACAGGTGTGCGGCCCGGGGCAGGGGGGGCGCATCCGGCTGTGGCAGCGGCCCCGCTGCTCACCCTGCGGCCGCATCTCCCCACCCCTGCCCCCAGGTCCCGCTGGCCTCCCCCCTCCGCCTCCCTCCTGTAAGGACCCCTGTGATCGGCTGGGCCTACCGCACAATCCAGGGCAAGTTCCGCGTTTCAAGACCCTTGTGGCCTCACACCGGCAAAGACTTTGCTTCCCTCCGCGGGGACGACGCCTGGGCTCGCTGGGAGCCGGTGTTCCGCCTACGAACCCTCCGCTCGACACAAGAAGCCTGCCCCCATAGTGACAAAGTTGTCAGTTCGCCCCTATTCCCACCACTGTTGAGAGCAGGGCAAACGGAAAAAGGAGAAGAAACCCAGAGGCCTGAGGCAAAGTAGTTCCTTGGTTTGTGTGAAGTTTTTAGGAGGAACCACAAGTCTTCTCTCTGACTCCTCCACTTCTGTTCTGTCTCCATCACCCGAAGTTTGACGCAGGTGCTAAGTGGGTGGCCACT